TATGGGTATCTCCAACACTTTCAATGTTGCGGACTTACTCTCTACCATCCAGAAGAAGCGCTCTATGAAGATAACTCGAGAGCGAGTTCCAAACAACCAGGGGAGAATGATGAGGAATAGTAGATGAGGAACATGAAAATATAATCATATGTCAAATCTGTTTGTCTACTTCTAGATACTTCTGTTGTGGTCTAGTATTTCTTTTCTTTTCTTTATCCTACCTACTGTTTTCTAGAGTCTTCTAGTTGTGAGTAGCTATGAGTAGAATGGTGAACCTTAAATAATGTTTCTAGAGTATTCCAGCTATAAGTAGAAGTATGTGAAGGCTTCCCAAAGCCCTATAAATAGAGGTCCTCACCTCTACTTTGTATCTAGACTATGTACCCCTACCTATAATAGAACTTGTTGTTCTTATCTAAGATCTTGGAGTAGATCTTGTGCCCTAGGAGTTCTGGATTGAACTCTTGCTGCCCTATCAGCCTACATTCGCCTCTAGAGCGATATCTAGCGCAGCACATTGAAACTGTTCCTTCAACACTTGTGCTGTACACATTGTAGCGGCAAGGTGGAGTTGCTCCTCCACAACCTTTGTGCTGCTTCATCAAAGATTAGATCCTACAACCAGCTAGAACACCGTGGTAACTTCTATGTAAATAGCATGGTGACCTGATAACTTACGTATATAAAACACTGCAGTAACTTTTGAACAGTGGAAAAAATGTTATTTAAAACATACCCACAGTAACTTGGTAATATATGAACCGTAGACCTGATAACTTACGTACAAATACAGTGGTAACTTCGACCCATGAAAAAGGTTGGTGAAACTTACCCCGGTAATGATGTAGGGTGGAACCCTAGTTCATGATCTTTTCACATTTGGAGGGGAAAAGGGAGCAAATCAAGAGAGGAACACAAGAAGAACACCATATAGACAAAGATCCAATCACACATATGCTAAATCCACATAAACATATAGGGATACAAGGGTCGAAATCCAACACAAGAGGGTAAAAGGGGTACTAGTTCATCCCAATCCTTGAAGGAGAGAGGTCTTGAATCCAACATGATCTTCCCTAAGAAGGGGTCCTGAATCCACTTGAGGGATCTTCTCGCATGGAGGCCTTGATCTTCATGGGAGAGGTAAGTGGATGAGCAAAACTCAATCTCAAATGAGCTAAACCTTTGCTAACCCTAGCTAGGAGGAGGAGAGGGTCTATATATAGTGTTCCACGAGATGAGAGGGGGAAAGAGGGGATACATGGGCCTCTGGCCCGGTTAGGCACTCGCAGGTGCCGAACGTCCGGGCTGGGGTCGGATGTTCGGGGCTGGGACCGGATGTCCGGCCAAGAGTTGGCCAAACTTCTGTTGCTTTCGGTGGCCTCGGGCCGGATGTCCGGGCTGGTCAGGCCGGATGTCCGGCTCCTGGAGATTCTTCAGCGTTGCACTAATGCTGCTGTTGCTGGACTGGGGGCGTCGGATATCCGGGCCAGGGCCAGATGTCCGGCCGCTATAGGATTTCAGCGGTCTCCTTCATTGTGCTTCATCGTCCGTGTACTTGGGCACTTGGTCTTCATTCCGAGCCTCTCCGAGGCGGAGATACAGTCCTCGCCGATGGATCGGCAAGTACTCCACGGTGAGCGGCTATCAGCTAATGTTATGGGCCGTTAGAGAGACCTCGACTCTTTCAGGGAAAGGAGGGAGATCGAATGCGAGATGGAGTCCCTGCGTTTGTTCCCTCCCCCTCCGGACGGGTCAACCTACTTTGCCCGCTCAGAGGCTTCCTTGTACCTAAGCACACATAGCATTTCCGATTGGGGTAGTAGCCATGTCTCACACGGTTCGTATGGAAGCTCGTTAAGGAGAGATGTCACCTCAGTCTTGATAGCTCTTGCACGTGCTCGTGTCATCGGTCCACTTAGCACTTGGGGAGACGGAGGAAGCTCCATGGGGATGACCGTAGGATGCTCCGCATCAGGTAGCTTGTGTGTAAATAGCAGGTTTGTTTACACACTGCAGATCTGATAACTACGTACAAAACACCGTGGTAATTTTGACCCAAGGAAAAAAGTTGTGGAAACATACCCTGGTAACTTCTGAGTAAATATGATGGGTTTTTATGCACCGCAGAGCTGATAACTTATGTACAAACACCATGGTTATTTTGACACGGGGAAAAAGTTGTTGAAAACATACCCCCATAAACTTTTGTGTAAATAGCATGGTAATATATGCACCAGAGAGCTGATAACTTATGTAGAAACACCGTGGTAATTTTAACCCAGGAATTCTTTTGTTGAAACATCCCTCGGGTAACTTCTGTATAGAAGGTGTGGTAACTTGATGTACCACAGGCAGTTTACGGCTCGCCCATGGGATTTGGCCACCGTTTGGACTGGCACAAAAAAATTGGCTCGCCCAGCCGGCCAGCGATGCCTGCGTGTTACTCTCGCCAATTCGTGGGCGCAGTGAGGGCGTGGAAAACGCTCGCCAAATAATTGGCAGCCTGCTCTTGCCCACTCTTTACGTGGGTCTCATTTTGTTTTTGCTTTTACACGGTGGTCTCTTCCGGTGGTGCTTTTACGGAGGTCTCGCCAAATAATACGGCGGATTAATCACGTGGGTAGCTGCGTGATGACCGAACAGTTCTTAGGGCAACCGAACAGCTGTTTGGATGGATTTTTTCATTGACGGGTAGTTTGGATGGATCAGTCCAGTGTAAGCTCCAGCCTAACATACGTTTTACTACTGGACTTCCATGGAAGAAAAAACTTTTACTATTGAACAAATGTTCCCAAAACCACTACTAATACTCTTCTCTTGCATGTTTATCTTTTGGCATATTATATTTAATTATTTTTTATATTACAAAAAACTTATTTTTAATGTCTTTTTTTTGTTGGCTCAAGGTACATCCAAATTACAATCAGATCAAGCACTAATCAATCCAAGTTACTCGTATAAAACATTTGGCAACTCTGCTAGTGGCAAACCAAATGAAGTCTTAGTGATTTACCAAAATTTGGGCAAGTACATTGGCTACAATCCAAACAATGATAACTTACCAAAATTTTGGTCATGCCAATTTTTTTGTCTGGGCTAGTTGGGGCACAAACTAAACAAAAGGGCAGCCCCAGTGCATGTAGCTCCCGCTTGCGCAGGGTCTGGGGAAGGGTCCGACCACTTTGGGTCTATTGTACGCAGCCTTTCCCTACATTTCTGTAAGAGGCTGTTTCCAGGACTTGAACCCGTGACCTCATGGTCACAAGGCAGCAGCTTTACCACTGCGCCAAGGCTCCCCTTCCGGGGCACAAACTAAACACACCCTCAAAAATCTCGCCATGATAGATTTAATAGTGAAAGCAGATTTTGAATCGGACCGACCGTTTGAACTATAAAACATTCTGAATTTTTAGAATTGGAGAGAATATAGGATGACATCATCAGTTGTCCTTTTTGCACGCATGCATATATTAGTAACAAGAAAAAGGGAAGGTGCACATGGGTTGGGGAGGAACATATCGGAACGATCGTTGGTTATTAGAGTCTATACACACACACACACAGGAAAAATACATCCTACAACCGGTGGTAGTTACATCCACGTCTCGTATTATCATGTGGTAGTATATATACTACTTTATCATTTTAAGTATCTTCATATATTATATCTAAGATTTTCCTAATCGAGCTATATGAAAAATTTGCATGTGAGTTCATAGATTTTTTTGTATATTTTGAAAATACCTTCTACATACAACATACAAAACTCACGGAGTGCACTACCACCGGTTGTAGGAAAAAAATGAGGAAAATTTGGGTTGTTGCTGCAGGAATCGGTTTATGAAAATTTGGGTTGCTAACATATGACTTAATATATTTGATTATGTAGAGTTGCAAAATATACATTGAACATAAGTAGAATAATTGAATGGAAAATATTTTTTCATGCATGGTTGAATGTTGTGGTGGGTCTTTCTCTATGCATGATTGCATGTTGAGGTGGGCCTCATTCCATTCATAATTGTAGGGTGAGGTGGCATGCTTGCATGTTGAGGTAAATAAATTAGTGGGGATCACTCTCTTATGTATATAGGATGCCTAAATACAAGTTTCACGAAAAAATATCTTCGAAGCCCTTAGTTTATGCAGTATACAATTTTTACGTACAAAAATGCAAATGTTTATGCATTTCACAAATATAGTAAAAACAATGGGCTCGCTTGCAATTTTCCATGTAGCTCACTTTGGAGCATCTTATTCTTAGATATAGTATACGAACATAGTAAAAATGATAAAATAGTATATATACTACTTACATGGTAATATATGAGACGTGGGTGTAACTACACCCGGTTGTAGGATGTAACATACACATGGTAAAATCGTGTCTATCAATGCTGTCTAATCGTGGGCTCTGCCCGCTGTGCGAGCCGCTCGACTAATGCTGCCCCACCTTAAGATAACCAAGTGTCCTGGTAATCTAGTTACGCACCCGTACAACTCCTCGCCCGTTGCTGCTCGTAATATAATTAATCATTTCGGTAATCTAGTTGCTACCTGCTGCCCAACTCCTTGCCCCGCTTCTGCTTGTAATATAATTAGTCTGCCTTCTGCCCAACTCCTTGCCTTGCTGCTGCTCGTAATCTAGTTACTGGCTGCCGCAAAACTCCCAGCCCTGCTCATTGGTGATCGTAATGTAATCAATCGTTCTGGTAATTACCGGCTGCGCACAACTTCGCCCTACCAAATTTGCCAACCCGTTTTTCTTTTTTATTGATGGTGGTAAAATAATTTAAAACATAGTGGTACCCTGATTTGATACGAGCCAACAATACTTGCTTTTGGCCATTTAATAACTGTAATTTGAATCTTGGATGACATTTGCCCAACAAATTTGAATGTTTGGTTTCAATTAAAGCAGTACAATGGCAATTGAAGTACCTTTAATTCAACCATGCTTTGTTGAGATAACATTTTGAATTATCCCCATTGGATAGTTGAGTTCTTATGCAATTAGAGATGTTGAAGAGTACAAGAATTTCTGTGACCGACAAAAAGATCAGAGGCCGCAGCCAGAAGAAGTAATTGCGGTATGTCTTGTTTCCGAAGAAACCATACTTTTCAGGACACCCCACTTATGGGACATCCCCTTTACTTTAATTTCTAATGTGGAATTTTAATTCATCTTGCCCATGAATCCATGTCATGGTGGGTTCTAATGTAGTGACATAGTGGATGAACTAGCTTGGTGTTTGTAAGTCAAAATATTTTATAATCTGCAATACTCATTGGCACTCTTGAGACTACTTTACCCTCTATTTATTTTATTTGACATATAGATTTGTTTCCCAAGATGGGAATTGGGACTGCTAGATTCTCTTCCAATTTGTGTTCATCAACCTAGTTTGTAGTGTCATTATGTCATATTAGCTTCTTTGTTGTTGAGCTTAGACAAACTATTTCATTGGATTGCGAATTTGTCAGCAACATGGGAAACATGGTCCCCCGTGCCTACTGGAGATGGGCCTAGCTTTATGTTCTAATACTTATAGAAAGAGAGAAAACCATACTCGGGTCCTCCCAAGCATGAAGACACTGGCAATCACAGGGAATCTATAGAGTTGGTCGGGATCCTCCCGATCAACTACCCTCCCCCGAGCAACCGATCCTCGCCTACAGATCGTTTAAGGGGCCCACAAGTTGGCAAAAGATCAAGCACATGCTTGGTCACTTCTCTCCGGGCTTTCCGTGAGACCCAAGGCCGGCAAGCACATTAATAGCTATGCCTGCATGTCTATGTAACCTACGGTTCATAAGTTATATTGATTCTGAACAGTAAGCCGGTTCGCTCCGAACCGAGGTGATATGGCTTGCCGCTTATCGGGAGCGCAGGTCGTTTTTTGTACTATCAACATGCTGGATGTAGCGTGTCTCTTCGGCTGTCTCCCGCTGGCAAGTTGGACCTGGCGAGCTGTGTACGGTTGGAGAGGTTTGACTCGTCAACATGACCTACTCCCACTGCTCTATCCTCTAACGGACCCGCGTGGGCTGCACAGTCTAGGTCGCCCAAGATCGATTGTGGCTTGGTTTGTAACAGGCTACTGTGGTGCCCCCCAGGCCCTATAAGAGGAGGACCAAGGCCGTGCAAAAAGTTCGCAACCTGGAAGAATACCATCTAGAAGAAAAGTAGTTGGGTAAAGAAAACTAGCTCTCAAAGAGAGTCCTGTACTCAAAGATTTCTGGAGTGTGTTACACCATCTCGGTGGCCTGAACTTGGGTAAAAAAGCCGTATCCTGCCTCAAAGATTTCTGGAGTGTTTTTGATGATTCCCACGACCCCTGATGTCCATCCTTGACACTTGGCGCGCCAGGTAGGGGGCAAAGGTTCCAGATCATCTTCATCGACCAAGATTTCTGGAGTGTGTTACACCATCTCGGTGGCCTGAACTTGGGTAAAAAAGCCGTATCCTGCCTCAAAGATTTCTGGAGTGTTTTCTAGCCTCTGGCCGAATGAAAAAAGGTGATTCCCACGATCCCTGATGTCCATCCTTGACACTTGGCGCGCTAGGTAGGGGGCAAAGGTTCCAGATCATCTTCATCGACCATGTCCTCATCCGCACGGAGACCGAAGCGTACCGACGTGAATGATGGAGCCTCCCTGGGTGGTGACGCGCCGTCTAGCGGCCAACCCTCTTTGGGCGTCCAATGGTCGTTGCACTCGCATTGCTGGCGAATTTCGGAGGAAAGGTTGGAATCCCTCAGTAACAGTTTCTCCAATATTGGTCTGAAGGTTGTCTCTGAAGTATAGCTTGCTGCCACTTCCTGTGACGTCACAGGAATGATTTGAGAAATTGCCATTAATGAACAACATTTCCTTGATAGCACCAGCTACTCTGTTAAGGGCGCCTTTCTTGTATTGTATTCTGAAACCAAATTCTAGCAACTTCATCATGAGTATGGTTTGCTTAGCACCTATAGCTCGTACCTCTGCATGCAGTGTTGTTATGTCCGATCTGACAGACTGTGTTTCCTTCTGGTTCTCAAAGACCTCGGATCGCATGGCCAGGAGATCTTGTAGTTCCCCGTCATCATTTCCCACCTTGCTCCTCCTCATCTGGATCTGGCCTTCAGGAGAGAGAATTTCACATCGGAACTAGTCCAGCAACTGGATCTCCCACACCAGATCTCGTTGTTGAACTGCGCTGCTGCCAAAGTGGTGTACTAAAGCAGCACAAGGTCGTGAAGGAACAACTTACAAAATATACAACGCAAGTGTTGATAGAACTACTTCTATGTGCTGCGCTAGATATCATTCTAGAGGCAGAAACAGGCTAATGTGGCAGCAGGAGTTCAATCCAAAATTCCTAGAGCACAAGATCTACTCTAAGATCTTAGATAAGAACACCAAGTTCTACTATATAGGTAGCGGGGGTACATAGTATGCTTACAAACTAGAGGTGAGGACCTCTATTTATAAGGCTTTGGGAAGCCTTCACATCTCACTTCTACTTATAGCTAGAACACCCTAGAAAACATTACTTAAGATTCATCATTGTACTCATAGCTACTCGTAGCTAGAAGACTCTAGAAAACAGTAGCTAGGGTTAAGAAAAGAAAAGAAATACTAGACGAGACACTAGAGTAGAAGTATATTGAAGTAGCCAAACAGATTTGACATATGACTTCATTTTTCGTTTCCTAATCTATTGTTCCTCGTCATTCTCCACTGAATTGTTTGTTATCTTCAGAGCCCTTCTTCCGGGTGATAGAGACTAAATCCGCAACAATGAAAGTGTTGGATATACCCATGTCGCTTGGAAGATCTGTCACACAAGCATTATTATTTATCTTCCTCATAATAGAGAAGGGCCCATACCCTCACTGCCTAAGCTTCCCTTTAACACCTAAAGGCAGCCTCTCTTTCCGGAGGTAGACCATCACCTTATCATCAACTTGGAATGTTTTCGGCCTCCTTTTGCAGTCAGCAAGTTGTTTATATTTCTGATTTTGTGCATCCAAAACACCACAAATTTCTTAAAAATAACTAAGTGTAACTATCAATAAAGGACAATGCTGATTTTGAGTTTTCCCTTGATGGTAGCTTCACCACGTCCATCGTATTTGTTGGAACTTTAGTGTAAACAATAGAAAAAAGACTCCTTCCTGTGGACCTATGTTAGAGTTGTTGTGGGAGAACTCGGCAAAAGCCAAATTCCATTGTCCCTTCATGTCTCCACAAATGCAGAGGATCAGATTACCCAAAAACTTGTTCATCATTTCCGTTTGTCCATCTGCTTGTGAATGGGCAGTGCTAGAATTTTTTAATTCAGTGTTGAATTGCTTCCACAAAGTGAGCCAAAATGCAGCAAGAAACTTGCTGTCATGGTCTGAGACGATGAATCTTGCAACTCCATGAAGTCCGACAGCTTCTCAAAAGAATAGGTTTGCCACATTGTTTTCGAAAAGGGGCGCTTTATTACTTAAAGATTTAAGCATTACACCCGGCCTCTACATAACTAAGATGCACATAGCCAAATAAGGTCCTCTCGCACAAACAAAAAATAAAAAGGCGAAATACAAAAAGATCCGTATAACGCCTAAAGCGGAGGGGGGCCAATCCTAAGATCATGCTGCCACCCATGTTGGGTAAAAGTATCCCTCGCCGTAGCCTGCAATCGTGTACACACCTCCGTAAATAGGTCTCGATTCTCCACGCGTTGTAGAGAGGACAATAAACGAAGAGTAGATAACCTGCATCAGAGAAGTACTTTTACCATTAAAAACCTTATCATTTCTACATAGCCAAAGCGGCCAAATAACGGCAAGCGCTCCCATCCTAAGAAGAGTTCTAAACATGTGATCTATCCCATGTAACCAGTTGCTAAATATATTAGCAGCACTACAAGGAGGATACAAGCCAGAAGCTATTTGGATGACTGACCATATAGAATGAGCCAATTTGCACTGGAAGAATAAATATTTTATTGTCTCATCATGGTGACAAAAAACATATTGCGGACTTCCATGCCAATTCCTCTTAATAAGGTTATCTTTAGTAAGAATGACTCTGCGACGAAGATACCATGCAAAGATTTTATTTTTAAGAGGTATCTTCATCTTCCAGATCTTCTTATTATCACTGGCACATCAGATTGGAGCAGAGCTCTGTACATGGACTCCACTGAGAATTGACCATTCCCATGTAGGTTCCAACGAAATACATCAGACCCATGTGACAATTGCACCATGGACAACCGCTGGAGCAGGGTGTTCCACGATTGGAGTCTGGGTTCAATTAAATCTCTTCTGAACGTCACATTCCGTGGAAATGATTCATTACCGTGGCGATAGTATCACCCTTGTGACGCACAATATTGTACAGGGTTGGATATTGTTCCCGGAGTGTGGCATTTCCTAGCCACTTGTCCTCCCAGAATCTAATTTCCGAGCCGTCCTTGATTGAGAAGGATCCATAGCAGAAGAAATATTTCTTCGTAGCCATTAGACCCACCCAAAAGTGGGTATCCCCAGGCTTCCAGTATACTTGGGATACCACCTTGGAACCCACATATTTCCTCCTTAGGAGGGTTTGCCATACACCATCTTCCGTCAGTAATTTAAACAACCATTTCCCGAGTAGGGCCCTATTCTTAACCTCAAGGCCATGAATGCCCAACCTGCCTTGGTCTTTGGGACGACAAACCACACTCCATTTAGCCAGTCGATATTTCTTTATCTCTTTATCTCCTTGCCAAAAGAATCTTGATCGGAAATAATCCAATCTATGTAAAACTCCTTTCTGCAACTGGAAGAAGGAAATCATATATAGTACCATATTACTTAGTACTGAATTTATGAGGACCAATCTTCCACCCAGAGACAACAGTTTACCTTTCCAACTACTAAGTCTTTTTTGCAGTCTCTCCTCAACGTGTTTCCATTCAACATTTGTGAGTCTCTGATAATGTATCGGTATCCCCAAATATGTGATCGGAAACTGGCCCAACCCGCATCCGAACAGTTCAGCATACAGGTGGGTATCGTCTTGAGCGTCACCAAAGCAAAACAATTCACTTTTATGAAAATTGATC